AGCCACCCAACGCGGTCAACGGAAGAGGAAAAACCCACAACAGTGAGAGGCCCGCGTACCGCAAAAAAAAAAAAAAAAAAGATTATTTTTTATTTTGTAATTATTTTTTAAGCTGAGGTACAACTGACATACAACATTCTATTAGTTTCATGTGTACAACATAACGATTCTATATTTGTATATATTGCAAAATGATCACTACAATAAGTCAGTTAGCATCCGTCACCATATACAGTTACAGAATTTTTTTCTTGTGATGAGAACTTTTAAGATTTACTCTCTTAGCAACTTTCTAATGTGCAGTACAGTATTATTAACAGTTTGGTCTGCAGCTTTCCAGTCACTTTCTCAAGGTATTTTACACACATATATGTATAGCTTTTTGTTTGTTTGTTTTTGTTTTTGTTTTTGTTTTGTGGTACGCGGGCCTCTCACTGTTGTGGCCTCTCCCGTTGTGGAGCACAGGCTCTGGACGCGCAGGCTCAGCGCCCATGGCTCACGGACCCAGCCGCTCCGCGGCATGTGGGATCTTCCCGAACTGGGGCAAGAACCTGTGTCCCCTGCACCAGCGGGCAGACTCTCAACCGCTGCGCCACCAAGGAAGCCCTGTATAGCTTTTTATAAAAATGAGATCCTACTATAAATATTATTCCACAATTTGTCCAATTACTTAATGTGCCTTAGAGAGCTTTCCATGTTGATATAGACAGATCTACCTTGTTGCTTTTAAGAACTACATAGTGTGGACTTCCCTGGTGATGCAGTGGTTAAGAATCTGTCTGCCAATGCATGGGACACGGGTTCGAGCCCTGGTCCGGGAAGATCCCACATGCCATGGAGCAACTAAGCCCGTGTGCCACAACTACTGAGCCTGTGCTCTAGAGCTTGCGAACCGCAACTACTGAACCCGCATGCCACAACTACTGCAGCCTGCGTGCCTAGAGCCTGTGCTCCACAACAAAGAGAAGCCACTGCAATGGGAAGCCTGCACACTGCAACAAAGAGTAGCCTTTGTTCGCTGCAACTAGAGAAAGCCCGTGCATAGCAACGAAGACCCAACACAGCCAAAAATAAATAAATAAACTTATAAAAAAAAAAAAAAAGAACTACATCATGCTCCAGAAGAATGGCTGTCCCATGATTTATTTGACCACTTCTGTTTAGATGGACATTTTTTTTCCACCTTTTTTTTTTTTTTTTTGCTATTACAAACAATGCTGCAATAAACATTCTTGTATGCACACCTTTGTGCATATGCACATGAATGTTCATTTGCAATAGCTAAAAACAGTAAACAATCCAAATGTCCATTGACAGGTGAATGGATAAACAAA